ATGCTATTGAATCAAGTTAGCTTATAAATATAGTTTTCAATATAGAGGAACTCTTATACTTAAGGCCTGGTGATAAGGAAGGTGAAATAATGTTTGTCAAATATTTTCCTAAATTTTGCTTTATGAATTAACTAATGTTTCATTTTTTAAAATTTTATTATTCTATAATTTAATTTCATCCCATAACAGAATCAGGGTTCCTTGGGGCAGGTAGCATAATATTTTAAGTTAGCAGACCAAAAGGTAGTTACATGATCATAAAAGCTTTGATAAATGCTCCTAAGACATGATCTGTACTAAATAAGTGGTTGTCAGTTTTCTCCAAGAATGTCAAAAAGGTCTGCAAATTCTCTAGTATATTGCTAAAAAAAAAATATTTGTCCTAGTAGTTTCAGAAACTCCTAGAAAATATTCACAAAATCAATTCTGATTACAAATTGTGCTTGTCATTATCTAGGGTTCAGAATTATATCATATCCCAGGTTTCTTTGACCCAGGTGGCAGATCACCATCATATGGGCTAATGGTTTGGGGGTAGCAGAATAAAAGCATGAAATGTTCCACTTCGTAAGTACATATTGTTTTGCTTTGAATGTTTCCAAAGTTGTCTCTATGTAAGAAATCATTCAAGGAAAAAAAATTGTCAGGACACATGAATCTAGAGAATGTTCTTGTATTTTTAAATACTAACTTGAGGTAGAATTTTATCTTCATATAAAATAATGAAATGCACTTATAAAATGATAAATGAAATTATGTAGTTATTACTTTATGCCTTAAGTTCATGTCTCTGGAAGGAATAAGGTGCTTCTGGGGAACAAAGTTCAGAAAGCTTAGAATGAAGCATTCATGGAATTGGATTATGTCTTGAAGTCCCCTTGGAGGGTGTCCCATCTGGATCAGTCTGACTTGGTCCTTCTAATGTAACATAGTTTTAATCCACAGCTGTAGTAGTCTGCAGTGTCACTCCTTCTACCAACAAATATATGTGATTTTAACAAATGGTCTCCTTAACATGACCCAGGATAAATACGTCAAGACTACTAGTCTTCAAACCTGAACATTCAAAACTTGAGAAATGCTGGTATAAAAGCATAATGAGTAGAAAAGTAATTTAGAGGAAAACATCTCTCATAAAAATAAGAATACTTTCTCTCTATTGCATTAACAGGATCATTGTAGTTATCAATTAGTAATATGTACTAAAATACAAAATGAAAACCTAATTTTATACTGACAACACCAATAAACTAAAGTAACACAAGGCTCTATTTCTTATTGTTTAGAACCAATTAAGAGTACTTGGTAAGTTGGTTTCATCAGGGAGGTAGAAGTTATGAAAAATAAGCTAGAATCATGTAATTATGAATATTCATCCAATATAATCAAATTTCACAGGGCACTGAAATTTTATAAACCAAAATATGAAAAAAAATAATTCTTAGAAATAATACCTCCATTTTACTAAGTGCTTATTTTGGCATTTGGTTAAGGATAATTTTATTTATATTTCAACACATACAAAGAAGGTACTGTCAGTTTTATTTTAATGGCAGATAAATTGAGGTTTAGAGACCTTGACAAGATCTTCTAATTATATTCATGAAGTTACAGAGCAAACACTAAAATCAAGAATATGATGGTTCCAACATTCAGGTGGACCATTGATTCTAACGTGGTAGGATGTGACCACAGTGAGTATTTCTAGCTTGCTTGCAGTCTGCTGGCAGATTTGTTCTCTAATGGCAGAAGACAGGGTTAAACCTACCAATTCAGCAAATTCCACAAATTTCCCAGAGTTAAATGTTTTTTATAATTTATATATAAAAATATACATTTATAAATATACATTTATAATTTTAAATGTACATAATTTATAATTTTAAATGAATATATTATAGTACATTAAAAGGACATTATCAGTCTTGATAGCCATATGAATACAAATTAATATTATACATTGAAAATTTTACTTTTACTTTTAATTGCTTTAGATCAATTAAATACTGTATCATTTATCAATTGAAACTCTTTTAAATGTCTCTATATCATATAAATAACAGTAAATTTTTAGTTTGTGTATTTTAATTTTATATTGTGTAAAATAAATTTGCTATAAGAATTAATACTTCCATTTACTGTCAAGCTTTTTATATCAAGAGTATTTTAACTATAATAAAAAACAAATGTTTTAGCAAGAATTGACTTTTAATGTTTCTTTGAAATATGTTTAGTTGTATTTTTTTTCCACAAAGAAGTAGAAAGAACTTTGAACTGCACAGAATTCTCAATTTTCTCATTTCACAGGGGAATAGAAAAACCAGAGCAGCAAGTAACTTTTCCAACATCACAGAATGGAGCAAGGATTAGAACTCAAAATTCTGTTCAATGCAAGATAAGTTTGCAAGAATGCCCGTACGTCCTTCCTTTCTCATGAAGAGAAGGAACCTATTTCTCCAAATCTTCTATCATTGCTAGTCTTGTGACTGCTTTGGCAAATGTTACATGAGCAAATATGATGTATGTAGATGCTTGAAAAGTGACTGTGCACTGGGACTTCGTCTCTTGTTGCCCTTGGGTTCCCACTAAACCTGGAATAAGTTGCATGCTGCTAAGACACACAAACCCTACTTGTCCTTATCACCTTTCTCTACAGCCTTCTAAACACTTCATATATGAGTGAGCATTCATTCACCAGTAAATTTTCCATCCACTGCTATCTGATTGCACAGATAAGAGCCAGCAAAGGCAGAATCAATCAGGTGAACTGGGACAATAGAACAACAAAGGCATCATCTAAACAAATCATTATTGTTTAAAGAAGCTATATTTGGAAGTGATAAGTTACACAGCAAAAAAAAAAAAATACTGATGCAAATACATTTAATTTCAATATTTAGTAAATAGGGTTCTCACAGATCATCTTTATCAGATAGGCCTCAAAGGCAGATCTTCCAAGCATACTATTGATAAAATCAAAGACAAATGAGAATCTGTTTCTTAAAAAAAGTTGCAACTACTCTAAATTTTTGAAGACTCTTCATATGGCATGGCTAAGGCAAATCATTCCCAATAAATAGATATCAGGCTTTCCTTTATTAAATATGTGTAATAATAATAAAAATTTGAAAACATCAGGAACCCAAAAGTAAAAGTAAGAAAGAAACTTGATAGCCTACAGATACCATCTAATAGAAGAGAAAAACAAATGATAATGTTGATAACATAAAAAGGTTATCACTGCAAAAAATAATGATAATCATCAAATTCAGAGTTAACCCAGAGAAACTTGAAGAATTTAGACACATTGAAATAATTTTTATAATTAACTGTGTATTATCAGAAGCAAAAAGCCAGTTCTACTTAACAAAATTAGCAGACTTAAGTAAATATTTAAACTAGTTTCAAGTCTGTATTTTACTAAATAAAATAAAATAAAATAAAATAAAATGAATGTGACATATCGGTTGCAATATAATAAATGTTACAAGTGTATAAGATATACCTACAATTAATGCAAAATAATATAAGCACTAACAGAAAAGTGTAGGTTTCTGATTTCAAGGACATATACTGTTTTGGGGAAAAGATTTCCCAAAAAATTTAGGTAGGAGGGAGTCTGAATGATTGGCGTTTAGCTATCTTGGAATGCTAGGGTAGTTTGGTTCCACAGTAGCTAACCATTCATAGTATTCAGCTTCTGAAATACAAGCTAATTGCATGCTCTAAACTCACTATTGTGGGAATAAGAGATGATGAAAGTAATGTTAAAGCACTTTTTCTGTTAAAAGTAACAGAGAGATAATTATAAGTATAGCTTCTATTATATAAAGTGGCATAATACATCCTGTCTAGAAAATAGCCTTTGCTTTTTATGTACCTCATAAGCAAATGTGACAACTTTGAAATGCTCAGTGATCAAGGATCTGAGTGCTTCTAGCATAGGTAAGGCAAATGCCCTAAGAAATAAAATGTTTACAGATATTTGAAAGAATACCAGGGAAAATCTTGGCAAATGAAAAGTACTACATAATGAAGATGAGTGGAGAGGAAAACAAGGGAGGAAAGAGAGTAAGAATCCATGGAGGAGGAATAATCTTCATGACAGCTGATTTCTGAAAATTTCTCAGTCAATTTGAGTGTATCAGCCAATTGCATGCATGTCACCTTCCCTTTCTGGGAAAACAAATTTTAATTTTAAAGCTAATAATATTCAGCTTAACATGTGGGCATTTTAATTGTATTAGCATCATAGATTTGTCAGTTAAGTGCTGCCTGCACAGGCCATCTTCTCTCTGCTCCTAGTGAATTTTAGAGAAAGTTTACTTTCCTTCTTTATCTGTTCAAATTCTTAAAACAGATTCTCTGACTTTCATGGGATTTTGGTTGCTTCTGTTAGATTACTTCTTGCCATTTACAGTGAAATATTTTGTACCATGAAAGTCAGCATGACTATGGAGGAGGAATTAGTTCTGTTTTCAAGATTATGGAATGAAAGATTGTTTTAGGAGCTCACTTGGTCTTGACCATTAGCTTTGGTAAGTAGGATGCTAAGTAAGGGGGAACAACAGAACCTAAAAATCAGGCAATTCTGCAAATGCAAAAATGTCTAGACACCTAGGTTTACTTGTTGAGACTTGTTTCCTTGGTGTCATTGTCATTGTTAGATACTGGATAACCCAAACCATTTGTAATCATCTCTAATTTGGTTGTGCACCTTTTGTTGCCATTATTTAAAAATATTTCAATCATATCAGGAATGGGCAGGTGTGTGCATGTTTTATGTCTGTACGGGATTGTTATGCATAGTACAACTAGATGAGATATTTTAAGTAAGTTTTCAGTCTTTTCTGATCATTTGAAACCGTGGTTATTTGGGGGGCTAAAATCATAAATTTTCAGATACACAAAAAGAAAATCAGGGGATGAGAAAGAGAAAGAAGACAAGAAAAGAGAGAAAAGAAATTAAAAAAAAAAAGAAAGAATAACAGGCCATATAGTTGTAGGTAAGAAGTAAGGGATAAGTTGAGAAGTAAATTATGAATGTTTTAATTATTTTGGGCCACAGGAAATGAAATCAGATTTTTAAGAGGACCCAATTTTACTCCCTTTTGTGCTTTGATCCACTGATTAACATTTGCAACCACTAACTCACTTTCCTGATGGAGGCGACTGTCAGATCGTGCGGCTTCCAGAGCCGGGCGCAGAGTTTCCAGCTGTGGATGAAGACAGATCAAAGCATATGATGGACTCTCTACAACACAGTCTATCTGGAATACTAATAATAGTCTGTACTACTTGTAAAGAATCAAGTCATTTTTCTCCACTCCTTCAAATAATCAGGGTTTCCTTGTACATGCTATTAATTGATTCAATATGCTGAAAGAATGCCTGAACTTTTCCCACGCCTTACACTCACTCATTTTTTATAATATACATTAGTCTACCTCCAGAGGTTGTTTTAATTCAAATCAGGTTTTCTTTTTCATAAAAATGGAATGAGTACAACTTGTTATGTTTAGCTTTATATGCTACGCATTTTCTTATGTTTTATAATTGTGTGTATATGTGTCATCGCCTACTCTGTTCAATTTTGATGCTACTTAACTTGCTTAGAGTAGAATTTCATGATCCATTTTGATAAATATTGAATTTTTTTTACAATGGAGACTTTATAGACATTGCTTTGTCCTATTAGACCCTTATTAATATTTTTAAACACAGTAGTTTGAAGCTCTCCCTAAGACTGATGATGTTATTCAAGCTTGCCAGACTATGAAAGGATGACATCTTCTGTGTTTTTGTTGGTTTATTGTATGTGGGATAATGGTTATTTGCTTTTACTTCATTCTGAGTCTGCCATTTTCATGTTTATTGTTTATTCTAATTTCTGATAAACTTGTAGATTTTTTCTTTTTTAACATTAGGGTCTCTACTGTTTGGTTTTCTTAGGAGTGTGGAGCACAGAGATGTGCCACAGACATTAGGTGTATTCCTAATGCCTTTGGTAGATAAAAAGCTAAAGTGCCAATTTTTCTTGTTCTAGTCAAATAAGTGTTTGTCATACCTCCAAAGCTGTGTGGTTTGGTAGTGAAAGGGATTCAAAAACAAAAGATACATAAAAGCAGAATCTTTTCAATCACATAATTTACAATTCATTATTCTTAGATGGATCTAAACTTGGTGAGAACCTCTATGTAATTGTTGTTTGTGTATACATCAAGTAGATAGAATAATCCCCTTGACATATTTTATATACCAACAAGTGAAGAATAGTGTCTACCTTGGGTGCAACAGAGTTTATGGTCTTGTCTAAAATCATTAATTCGGTTTTTTTTTTTTTTTTTTAAATCAGGCCCTGACACTGGACTCTGTCCTTGGTTTGCTTAGTCCAGTTTTAATAGGAATCCTATTGAGTCAGTTTAGTAGAAAAACCCTACCCTTGGTTCTGATCACCTTGACCTGCCCACAGCAAGAGTGCTATTGGGCCTTGATGTTTCCCTTTAGCAATTTCCCATCTACCCACTCCTGCCCTCTTGTTCTCTATCATCCTTGTTGCATTCTGAGTTCCAATTTCTCTTCCTTACTGCTAATCTCCATTGCAATAGTCTTTATATGTTTCTTATGGCAGTCTTTCTTACATTATTTAACAAGGTTAACTTCATTAACAAGTGTCCTGAATAGTACTTCTTATTTTAATGTTGCCCATGACTTAAAAAATATCTGATTCATCATTGCACTTCTATATCCCTCATGTAGGACCCAAGTGTGCCTGGTGGAAGTCTTTACCTCTATTCATTCACAATTGAGCAGGGATTCACTAGGGAGGGAGGCTTCTAAGCCTGTGTTCCTAGTCACAGTTCTATGAAGTATGACAGGGACGTATTTTGATTCTTATGATTTTGGATATTCTCTCAGCAGCTGGGTTAGGGTCCCAGGCTTCTTTTGAATGATACCTGTGAAGCTGGAAGTTCTTCTTGACTCTTGGTTTTGCATAGGGTTCATTTCCTGACTCCTGATCTGGAAAATATGTTTTTCTGCAAGTAACATTGTGAGTCCTCTACTCTCTACTTGATCCTCTCACCTGATGTGAACTTCTCTATCAACTAACATCTCCTTTCGCAAACTTTATGCCTATAGGGCACAAACTCAGTTGGCTTTTTCTTGGTGGCATGACTTTACTAAGGAGAATTTAGAAATTAAATAGTTTCTTGGGAAAACATTGGATCTCCTAAAATTTCTCTCTATAACTCCTGCTTCCCCATTACCTTGACTCCCACTTTCCATCTTCCCTTCAGGTCCATTGGCTCTGTTGTCAAGTACTGTGAACATCTGAGATTTTGAGGCCTAGTGGATTTATCTGAAATGAAAAATGAAATTGGACAATCTTATTTTATCATCAAAAATTAAAATCTTTGAGTCTGTCCATCATAAATTCCTCTTTTCCATCATTAACTTTCTTAATTGACACAGTTTAATTGTGTTTAAAGTTTAAGTCTAGAGTGCCATCTATTTGCTTGACATTTTATATAGGACATGAATGTGAAGTTTTTTTCCTTTGGCTTTTCTATAAAATGGATGAGTATAACAGAAAAAAATCAAAGTATTGACACAATAATTTTCTTCAAAATAATAAATTGAGTGGGTGGAAGCTTATTTCATATCAATATTCATTTTATTCTATGACTACTTAACTTAATTTTGAGAGAATTAAAACTATGGATTCTGAATTATTATCTTTCATTATTTCTCTATTTGCAAAGATTCAATGCAAATTTTCTACTTCTATTATTTAATGGATGCAAGGAAAATAGAGACTCACCTTGCATGATTCACTTTGGGATATCACAAGAACCAGGTGAGAGAAACAAAATGATCCTTTTGTAGTGAGAGTGTAAAGTAGGAAGCTAAATTCAGCAGGTTCTTGTTGCAATGAAACATATCAAATTTCTAAGTCACATCTTTTTTCAAACTATTCCAAATTGTATTAGTATGTATTCAGTATTTTTCTTTTCATCTGCAGAAATTTAAGAATGTTGTATATATATATATATTTCCGGTAGTAGTATAGACACAAAAAATCTGCTGGTGCTTCTTTATTTTTTGGTACCAGGGATTGAACCCAGGGTCATTAGACCACAGAACCACATCCCTAGTGCTATTTCATATTTATTTAGAGCCAGGGTCTCACTGAGCTTCTTAGCTCCTCACTGTTGCTGAGGCTGGCTTTGAACTCATGATCCTCCTGCCTCAGCTTCCAGAGCTGCTGGGATTACAGGTGTGGACCATCTTGCCCCACAAACAACTGCCTCTTTTGATGAGATATACTATCTTATCATAGTTGGAAAAGCCCTCAACCCAAACTTCCATTTTGAAATCTGAGTTCAATACATGGCTCTATTAGCATTTTAAAAGTTGATAAAGTAATAAATCTATGATTACTTTAAAGAAAGTCTTATAGTATTAAGGTGAGTAATTCATAAATGAAGAGGCAAAATATATCTATTAAACCAAAACTTTTGAGATCAAGGGATCTCTGAAATAAAAGGGTTTACTGAGTGATTACAGATGCTAGCCAAAAAAATTTTAAAAATAAATAATAATAATAATAAAGGCCTCTACAACTATAAAAGACTAGAATAGATAGAAAGTGGAAATAGTCTTTATACTGGACTTAGAAAGTGTTTTTTTTTTTAATATTATGGGGAAGGAAAGCATCATTTACATTGAACCTACATTGGCGGTTTAGAGGTACAGGGTAACAAAAGCAGAGTCAATTTAGGGATAGGAAACCTGTCCAGAAGAAAGAACTCTCGTTGCTTCTATATTGCTTGGAGTTAACAGTCCAGAAAGTTTATGAAAAAACAGGGGCAATGTCACAAGTGATGGACAGTAATGGGATTTGCAGCCAAGGTTCTAACATAAACAGTCTTTTTCTTGATTTCCCTTGCAACAGTTAACTGATTAACTTCCTTTATCTCCCCCAACCTGCCATTTTCCAGCCCTAGTAACTAATTCAGAATATCTCAGAATTTTTTATCATGGTTGATCAAAATCAAATAAAAATGTATATTCTGAGACAAAATTATATAAATGTATATATGTGTATATACATATACACAAATAAACGTTAATATATGTGATAGACTATAAAATGGAGCAGGAAAAATTTACATTTTGGAAAGATCTTTGAAACATTTTTCATTACATCAGACATAATTTATCCCTATTTTGTCTCCTATGAATATAAAAGTTATTTAAAGCCACTTGAAGTTATCAAAGGACAAATGAAAATGTTTTTACAAAAACAGCAAAGTTTTCTTTGCACCATCTTCTATAGACAGATTATTCATTAATGCAGAAGTATTTTGAATTCACATATTCTAAGTTTGTTAACAGAAAAAATATCTGTGGGAGGGCACTGGGGATTGAATTTGAGGGTGCTCCACCATTGTGTCATAACCCCATTCCTTTTTAATTTTGAGATAGGGTCTCACTAAATTTTTCAATCTGGCCTAGAATTTGTGATCCTCCTACCACAGCCTACCAACTAGCTAGGATTATAGCCGTGCATCACCAGGTCCAACCAACAGAAGATATTTTTTAAAAAACTTAAAATTTCAAGCCTTTTGAAACTAAGCACTTCATATTTTTATCATTTAACCTCTGAAGAAATTATCTCTTCTGATGAATTCAAGAGAAAGATGATAACAAATGGAATCATTGATAGTGAAAACAGGTGCAGATATGTTTGAAGACCTGTAATACTATTAAACATTCTTACTTACTTTACACTTAACATATGTCTGTAACAATTCTGTTTTACCATGTGTTAAGCCACTTAATTCTCACCCAAACCGTGTAATGTAGAATGTAATTTTACTCCCATCTGATACCAGAATGAAAGTCACAGTAACAAAACTAGCATATCTGCCAATACGGGCTGGGTGAACATCAAAGGAAGGTTTGCTCTCAACCACTAAGCTACAGAGGATAGAACGGGATATTTTTAGGTTTTAGTACATCCTTGCTTGAGTTAGCATCTTTTGTCAGTTTCTTAATATTCTCAGAGACTGATTCAGCAGATTTGCAGATGTTACATTGTAGACTAAACTGATACAATAAAAAAGTAATTTTTGAATATTCAAATTATAATTAATTATAATAGACAAACTTATTAAGTTGTAATTATAAAAGCATATGGAAGTACTTTGTAAAATTTAATTTGTAAATATTTGCCCAAAACTTTAACATATCTTCATGGTCTCTCATATATTTAAAAAAAATGCCTCTAAATGAAAGAGTTTTATTCAAAAAATTAAAATTTATTTTTAAATTAAAATTTATTTTTAAATTCCATTGGTAACCATGTGCCTTCAACTGTAGTACCTCCTTTCAAGAATCATCATAGGAAAAAAACATTAAAACAAACAAATCTGCTTGCCCTACTGAATCAGATTATGTCAATCTGAAATCTGTGAAATCTGTGAATCAGACGGTTCTCCAAAAATGAACTTGACTTAAACTAGCCTCTTACCTTTAAGGCCATGAAGGAAAGGATTTGGTGAGTTATTCCTCTTGACATCCTTTTAGCTTTTGTTTGTGTATTATTGATTCTTACTAACATATGGTTTCTTGCTAGGTGCAGTGGTGCCTACCTATAATTCCAGGGACTTGAAGCTGAAGCAGGAGGATTACAATTTTGTCAAAGCATTTTCTGGCAATTTAAATTTTCAAAATTTAAAAAACTAAGAGAGATGTTTCAAAATTTAAAAAACTAAGAGAGATGTGAGTGTAGCTCAGTGGAAGTGTCTTGAGTTCAATTCTCAGTACTAGGGGATGTATCTATACCTATCTACTTATCTATCCACATAAATGTCAAATTTATTTACTATATTTATATAATAAAGAAATGCAGCCCAGACAGAGGTCCACCCCAGCACACCATGCCCACGTGGAGAGGCATGCCTAAGCTACAGTTCCCTATTCATCAGAGTGTGGCTCCATACCCCAATATGAAGGTACTTATAGGCTTGATGCTGCTGCAGCCAACAAAGTGGGACATCACTGCTACTATCTAGGGACAACAATCAGGACCTGGTATAATGTCACCAAAGTCCCTACAAGCCTGGTTGCTCCATAGGTATCTCTAGGAGGGGTGCTAACAATCATCCAGTTGCAGGGGTAACAGGGAGCCTTTCATGGGTTTTCTTTTTCTTATTTCTCCTGCTAACAACCAACTTCTTTTTCACTAGTCATATAATCTAATCCCTTTCTATTCTCACAGCCTACCTCATAAACTTCACAGCCTACCCTCCCACTATTAGAATCTGTAAATCATTATGCAAACCTATGACCATATGGTAAAAGATAATCAAACTCATCATTTCTGTTTACAGCAACAAATCTGTAAATGTCAAAATAGAAGTTAATTGATTTATTGCTTACATTGCATGCTACTATACTGATGCCCCCCCCCCTTAAAGGTGAGGTATTGGTAACCTGTAGGGACACTATAAGATAATAGGAAAGAAGCTGTAATATCTCAGATCTATACTGCAAGAGAGGATGACACATAGACATCATGAAAAAAGAAGGGAAGAAAGTGCCCCAAACAAAGATAGTACAACAATAAAATCCATGGAGAGCTTAGTAGATGAAATGTCAGAGAAGGGGTTCAGAATGTACATAATTAAAATGATCTGGGAATTAAATAATGACCTAAGCGAGCAAATAAAGGCAAAAATTGATCACTCCAACAAAAAGATAAGACAGCAAACACAGAAAATCATGGATCACACCAACAAAGAGATAAGAGAGTAAATAGAGGTAGAAAGAGATTACTTCAAGAAAGAGATAGAGATTCTGAAAACAAACAAACAGAGAAATCCTTGAAATGAAAGAAAGAATAAACCAAATTTTAAAAACTCAGTAGAGAGCATCACCAACAGACTAGATCACTTGGAAGATAGGACCTCAGACAAATGAAGACAAAATATACAATCTTGAAAATAAAGTTGACCACACAGTGAAGGTGGTAAGAAATCATAAACAGAACATCCAAGAACTATTGGATAACATCAAAAGACCAAATATAAGATTTATTGGGATAGAGGAGGGCTCAGAGATTCAAATCAAAGGAATGCACAATCCAATCGCTTCAATGAAAAAATATCAGAAAATTTCCTAAGCATGATGAATAAATTGGAAAATCAAATACTAGAGACTTACAGAACACCAAATGTACAAAATTACAACAGACCTACAACAAGCTATATTATAATAAAAATGACTAGCGTACAGAATAAAGACAGAATCTTAAAGGCCTCAAGAGAGATGAATCAGATCATTTATAGGGGA